TGTACACCTAGTCTTTACTGTTACAGATACTGTTCTTCGTTTTGGCATATGTAATGATAATTTCATCTCAGTGTGCTGATATGAATCGATCACTTGAATCCATGTAAATATGTTTCAGGTTTTATAATGCTTATGGCTGATTGATTATTTTGTATAATAATGATGTTGACTAAGAATATTTGAATGATTCGAGCATTCAAAAAAGTATTTCATTGGATTTTATTACTTCAGAGCACTTTGTACTCATACAACTTGGATTTTGACTAGTGGTAATAATAACATATTTGAAAACTACACCAATTTATTCAGATCTTGAATTGGTTGATGATAGACCTCCATAGAAAACTTGGAAGCGCTGGACGGTCGTTTCGTCCTATGGTGAGACTCCAGAGAAGTGCGCATCCACGGTTCCGCTCGCGGAATTCGAACCCGGGGGCTTCAGTCTAATTTATTAGTTAGTAGAAGTTGTATTTGTCTCGTTCGTTTTATATTTAGCACTGATCAAATTTTATCGATGGATTCGCTATATGATCACCACTTTAAGTGACTTGTTATTAGATTAAATGTGATGAATATTAATCAGCTGTCAACGGTAATCCTCGGTTGATATTGTCTTTGTGATTATTGACATACCTGAACAATTTGTATTAGAGAGGGTTAGTCCTAGTTCGATTCGTTCACGAATAATATCTGTAATTGTGAAACTGAATGAAAAGTATTTTATTTATGCACTAATCATCTATTTCCCAACGATTGCAGATATATCCTTTTACTAAATTCATCCCACTATAGTGGAAAAAAACCCTGGAACACAAGTTTTCTGATTGTTGTTAGGTTCCATCTAATTGTTTTTTTAAATCTTTAATCTTCATAAAAATAATGATTCATTATGCTACAAACCTGTTTAGGCCATTGAGCTCTGATATGTTTCATAGGATAGCAAATATTATCGTGGAATCTTCTTCTATTATATTGAATATTTTTCCTAACAATTAATAGGCTCCGCAAATAAATATGGCTGTTTTATTGAAATGTGAATATTTGATAAGTCTGTTTTTAAATCGGAAGATAACTATAAACACAGAGGGATTTTATGGATATTATAGTAATTTTAATAGTTGAATTCACGAGCCAATTGAAGCTAGACCACTATGGAAAACCTGGGAGCAGTGGACGACTCTTCGGTAGATCGCATGCACGATCCTGCCTTGCGGGATTCGAACCCAGGACCTACAGTTCTCGAGAGTGAGCGCTTATAATCATCATATGCTCACTAGTGAATAGCTTCAAGAGGTATTTCCTGGAGTTCAACTGAGAAGCAGTGACCAGTGAAGTTCAATCGGGTCTGTTGTGAGATAATAACTCAGTGAAGACTATATTAGACGGTGATACAATTTCGTCAATTGGTTGAAAATAGACAATAACACCGTCGGATGCCGGCTAACTCAATGGTCTAGACGTTAAGCGTTCACGCGCGAGACTGATAGGTTATGGGTTAAAATCTCGTGAGGTGGGATCGTGAATGCGCACTGCTGTAGAGTCCCGCAGTAGGACAAAACAGCCATCCACTGCTTCTAGGTTTTCCATGATTATCTAGCTTCAATTGATTCATGAATTCAACTATTAACTTACTATAATATCTACAAAACCCCTCTCTGATTATAAATGGATGAATGATCAAAAGATTTTACAATAAGCATTTATTCATTCTCATCTAAAATGATGCCTATTCAAGAAATCCTAGTTGTATTTCCATAAATATTTTACTCATATTGAAAATACTGACAAAAAATAAACACAGTCAATGTTAATATGTAATTAGATAATGGTAAAACAAAAAAACATTTTTTAGTGACAATCTAATATATTACTGATTTTCTCGTGGATTCTTTTTCTTCTTTCTCTCACTCACTCCCTCTCTCTCTCTCTCTGACACTTTTTTTTCGGTTAATTTTTATCAAATTCAAATGTGTCTTTGTTAAAAAATAGTTTCTTTTCGCTATTCTGTAATATGACTCGTTTAAGCTTTACTGAGTAACTAACTAGGCTTATTTGTCCGTACATGAATGTATGTATGTATGTGTGTTTCTTGTTTTTACTTTTCATTGTTTGTTGAATCTCTATGGGTTTTTTTTTAATGAACAAATATTTTGTCAGAATAACGCAGAAACTCATTAAGTTCCTTGACTGTCGAAGGGTCCTTGGAATTTTTTAAAAAAAAATTCCGTTTGTATTCCGTTTATCAAACATTGTGTGACTTATTTATAATATTACTGTATGATTTCTTTGAATAAAAAGAAATAAGACAAAGATTACTCCATCACAAACTCTTCACAGTTAGTCCCTTTCTATGTATATATAACTTTTGTACAAAAATGCCTTAGATGTCACTTCCTACCCACACTGGTATACATATATGTATATATATATATATATATATATATATATATATATATATCGTTTCAGACTGTTTTCTTTTACATTTTACTGTCACCCATCTTTTTTTTCTTCTTTTTGACTATCCATTCACTTTTTTTCTGAAGTTCCAGTATTAAGTAAACATAAAGATACTTTACATTTAAGATAATAAAGAAATAACTTTATACTTTATGTATTTCTACTTATTGTAAAAATATTTTCTGAATTTATAAACTCTGATTAAGAAACTAGACATATATTAATCTACATTTATTTGTGGCACTAACTTCTAGTCTTAGCCATGTTGGTAGATGTAGACTACTTGGTTGGGATCCATATGACTATTATAAACAATGGTTGGAGACTGTGAGTGATATGACTTAGAATCGATCACAATGGTGTCGGTGTATATACTTTCTATCTTGCTTTAAACTATGAGATTAAAATCGCCCCATATCTTTCTTTCTATGAACTAATTCTTTCGTCCTGTACTATATCCTTATATACAGTCTTTCTTTTATATATTGCCACCATTGAATTAACTACTTGTATGAATTAAGTGTTCATCTAGTTCTGCCGAGTTATGGCAACTTGGATTGATGCATGTATGTGCCTAGTCATACGTTGTAGCTGACTGACTGATTGACAGACATTTATTCGTTATTCATCGTGAATAGATTGAGTGTTCACTTTGAGTAATTTGTATTATTTTTCTATGTGTAAATTATGTTATATAATTAGTCAATACTGTTATATTTATTAAAATATTAAGCTTGTATTGACAAGTAACAAGACATATGTCATCCAGGTTGTACAGGATGTCCTATTAGATAACCTACAGACAAATGACATTGAACCTAACCGATTTTTTGTTACCAATCATCAGTGTCACTATCATTGTGTTTACTGCTTAAACAGACTTCTTCAAAATCATTCTTTTGTACAGCCTAAAACTATTATTAAAACCATGTTGTAATAAAATTAGAAAAGAGTGAGAATTCTAAAATAGCGAATAATGATAAGCCATCAATATGACCTTTATAATTATATCGATGGAAGTACATTCTTTTAAAGGGATTGTATCATCTGAGTTGAATTGTCTGTTTGCATGAAGCTTTCCTTATCACTCTAGACAACATGATTATTGCAATCTTTGAAAAGAATTTAAACCTTTCGAATTTATCTCAGTGACTAATAACCTGTTCTGTAAACTTGAAATTTAATTGGTTGTTGTCCATAATGATATGGCCCTTGTTTGTATACAAAACTCGGTAAATAATGAACGATCCAAGCTTCCATGATTTGTAATTAAGTGTTTAGCATAAGTTAATCATTTAAAAATGTCCTTGATCAAACACAACTGAAGTTGAGTTATTCTGTATGTCTATAAACATCAGGTTAACGATTTAACTTGATTTAAATAACTCTCTCATCAAATTTGTAATTGAATTATCTTCCGTATGTTCATCGGTAAGCTCAATTAAAAAGAGGGTTATCCCTTATTGCAGACTAATATTCAATTTGGTGACTAGTGGAGTTCAACCGGGTCTGTTGTGAGATAGTAACCCACTGAAGACGATTGTGGATGTGTCGCTGAATTTTATGGATTAGTTGAAGTTAGACCTTAACACCATTGGATGCTGGTTGAGTGGTCTAGAAGTTAGGCGCTCGCGTGTGATACCGATAGGTTCTGGGTTCGAATCTCGCGAGGTGGGATCGTGAATGCGCACTGCTAAGGGGTCCTACAATGAGACAAAACGAGCATCTAGTGCTTCTATGTCTTCCATGGTGGTCTAGCTTCAATGCACTCATGATCGCAACTATTAAAATTACTACAATATGCACAAAAACCCATTCTGATACTAAATCTTATAAGTAGCAATCAAAGTCATTATGTAAAATGCGTCATCTCCGATATGATTTAGATATTACATTATTCTAAGCTAAAATTGTATGTCTACGCTCTACCTCAAATTGTATTCTTCGTACTTACTCTGCATCTTTTCTTGTTATACCACTTTATCAAATAATACATTAAAAGATGTAGTAATGAAGTAATTTTGAAACGATAATTCTGGCTATACATATTTCTTACTGACAAACAACGATGACCGGTGTTAGGTTGTCTACGAATTTCATTAGTTTTAAGTCAACTTCCATAAATTACGATAACTCTTGACAATACAGTAGAGCGGTTTTATAATGATCTTAATCTTACAAATAAAAGAATTTTTTAAACCTCCATTATTAAATTTTGAACAGTTCATGCATTGCCAAATGAGACATAATTAATCTCGTACTCTGAATGGCTGATTTTCAAGGTCAAGTTGAGTGATCGTCAGCTGAAGCGGGTGATGAACCGTTCATTTCTATTTACTAGTTAGGTATTTGTACATCTTACATTTATTACATTAAATTTTTCGTTCACTACTGCTATAATGTTTAATTTTGAATAGTTCGTAAAGGGTTGTAACAATAATATACATCTATACTTTTTTGCTGTCATTTTTATATGTAACGAAGTTATTTCCAAACTTATAAGCCAATTACTCTTAATATTATTATTACTGTTATTATTTGAGGGTCTATCCACTTTAATGGTAACTCGCATGCTTCGTACAAATGATACATCATCATTGATATATGAACCGAATCGTACAGCACATATAAAATCAAGAGGTCTTGTGGTAAGTGTTTGCTGGTGTTAGTACATTGTGTGTGTATATTACGGTTATTACCTTTGGTGTTTACGCTTTTTGTTGCAAAGTTTTTGATTTTTTTAAATGTTCAGTGTCATCTTTGATGTTTGTATGTGTAAGTGAGTATGATGTGGCGAATGCATGTAATTTTATGTGTGTTTAGAGGTTTTTCCATTCTTTTAAGTAATCCATGTCGATGAATATTTTAGATTGAAAATTGTAATTCTCTCATTGTGAAAAAAATAGTAACTCACTGAGCAACATTTAGTTGCTCACTATTTATTTCTTTGTATTTTTTATAAATTTCTACCTCATTTTATGTATTCATTGGTTTGTTGGTGTTTATACATGTCGCTCATTTTCAAGCACCATTTCCTGTCTACTATTAACTTATTTCAGTAGATAATCTCATAAGTTTCAAAGACAAGCTATGACTATGTCGGTTATGCGACAGACACCACCAAAGGTAAAAAAAATGACCACTGTACAACTGCGCGAATGGATTAAAGTTAGACATATGTTAACTCAGTAGTCTAAAGTTTGAGTACTCACCTCGAGACTTGATGGGATTGTGTTTGGTTCCGGGAGACGTCACTTATGTATACTGCTGAGAAATTCTATAGATTTTAATGGTTGTCTGACTAAATTTAGTCCTTGATGTGAACCTAGAAAATCAAAGGTTTTGGTATGTGTAAACTAGTCAGTTCTCAAATAGAAACAAAATTGACTTTACTGTTATCACAGTGATGATTAAAATTTATTCTCTAATATATCTAATCATTTCTATTTGCAACCTACGATTACTCTTCACTACGCTTATATGTTCACACACACAGAGTTTATAATTGGCGTGTAAAATGAGATAACATTTACATATTTACCAAAACAAATCAATCTCACTAAAGAGATAAAAAGGAGATGATGGACAACCTTTACCTATATTACTTAACAGTTATTTTGACGAATCATAGAAACAATCTCAACCCAGGTGTTATAGTGTTGTACAACATAGTTCTTCAGTGAACACTGAGATTTTTTTAAAGCCGTAGTCATATGAAAAATCATTCTCTTTGAAATGGACATCGAATTTGATCTATCTGTAAGGATGTTAATTTTTCATATTGACGATGGGATAACAAGTGTTTATTTTTCTTCATCTTTATATTCTTCTTATATGAACGAAAATATTTACTGTCGATTACATTTATGAGCACTTAGTTAATTTAAGTTAAAATGCTTACTTTATTACAACCAGTAGAGTAGAATGTCACTTGGTGTTGTTTTAGTTGTATCTTCCATTTTTTGTTTAGGATTGCAATTGATCAGTCTCTTGTTGTCATATGTGCATCCTATGCGGATTGCCTTGATATAGCTATAGTTGTAAAGCCAAGTATATAAATTGACTACTTAATAAAACATTCTTATTGGGAATGATAATTAGAATCTTTATTTCAGGTGAATACTTTAGAGTTGTTACATTCTTTGAATTTAATGGTTTAACTGTGTCGTTCTTCATTTTCGTCAACTATCTGTACATTTTATCAGATGAAAATTGTACAGTTACAGATAAAAGGAGTAGTTAAATAGATTTGATTCGGTGTGTAGCAAATATTGAGATAAACCATCGGTAACGTGCTACATGTTTATAATAATAACTATTATAAGCCCTTACAAACATTGATTAACAACTATCATAAGCAGAGTTGGTTGATGATTAGCAGTGGAGTCCAGAAAACGTGTTTCTTCTTTTTATGGACTCGTCGGATGGATGAATCGGCATCTCAGAGTTGATGTTCATTTATGAATTTAAACTCAATACCGTTTGCTTCAAATACCATCAAGTTATTCACTTAGTCACTATCCGAATGTTTTACTAAAGTTTGTGACTTAACGGCAATATTGAAGTAATCCTCACACATGCCAACACAGAATAACCGATTACAATGCTAAATATCAATGAGAAGATGCATATAAACAATACAAATGAATCAATTAACAACTGCTCTCAATAAAAACTGACCACCCACTATACTTTTAAGCTTATCACCATTTAATTGTCTACCTGTATTTGTTAATTGGTCATCCAACAGAAATCAATGCCATCTTGTCAAATACTAGGAGATATAATCGACCAAGTTGTAATGTAACCGTTACCTTTAGTATTCTCACGCTACCTTAAACATCCCTTTCATTTCCTTCAAGTACATAATACTATCAACATATTTTGACAGCATGAATTGGAGCTTTGCATTATTTAACTTTAATTTCTTCCCAAAAGTTTATAACCTTTCTCCATTTCATGCATCTATAAACCCATATTGGACATGATATATTTTCAATGTTTATTTACCTTCCATTAATCAAATCACTAATATTCATAATACTGCCCTCATTAGAATACTTTTTTCCTTCTTTTTCCCTTGTTTTTACTGTTTATCCTAGTTGCGTAATCAGTAAGAACACAAACACACACACACACGTGCATAGATACTGACACATGTATCTATGTATATAACTAAATCGATTTATGACCATTTATACATTTGAAATTTATAAATAAATTTAACCGATAAATAAATAATAATACACATAAAAAGCCATTTTTGTGGAAACCAAAAAAATATATAAATAACTTTCAAATGTAAAGTTTACATTTCTTTCTATTACAAGGTATTCAAACCAAACTAGAACACTAATGGTAATAACAGTAATGGTAATCATAATCATAATCATAATAATGGCATTGATAATGAAGAGGTATAAAGATTGTTCCCTACTTCACTCAAATAAACTTCTAAAAAGTATATATATATATTTATATATATAATGAAAATGCTAACATTATAATATAATTCAATCAGTTATTCAAAATAACATTTCTTAATTGAAATAGTAAAATAGATACTACTAATAATTTTATTAGTAGTAATCTGTTATATAATTGAATTGAAGTAATACAGAAAGAATTACATAATATATACAATTTTATTAAGTAATATAAATCGAACAAACGAAAAAATATTTTATTTTCTTAAATTAGAAACAAGGATTGAAATAATGTTAAGCTTATAGATTATTCAGTGGAAATACTATGAGCTAACATGATTATCCATTTTCAAACATTGAACTCAATGAGAAGTCAAATTTAAGGATTAATGAAGTTATTTGATATAAAAGTAGATTAAAAGAAATCTGGAGCTGATGTATTCACGATATATCATAATTCTATAAATTTATTGAATGTTAATCTGTATCATGTTAGTGGATCCGTACTACTTGGATGTGGTTAGTTTCATAAGTGAATCAGGTTTTGACAGTTTTAAATGAAATGGTTCAGAACCGTTCGTAACTATGTAAGTGTATTCACTTTTTATCTTCCTATCGATCTTAAATTCCAGTATTCCCATATATTACCCTTTGTCTTTTTAAACAATATTCTCAATATTTAATTTTTCTCATTAGCATTCCTACTGAATATTTCTATTCATTTTATCATTGTGTTGTGATACGGCTATGTGAGTTAACTTACATCTTTACCAGACTATGAGTTAATTAAGACAAACTGATTAGCTAGTAGATTGTATATCCATAACATACGTTTCATTTTAATAGATTTAAAGCATTCTATATTATAATGATTAAAAGATATAGAAACTGAAGTTGAGAAAATTAGATATTTTATAAACTAAATACATTTTGTGCAGTAGCATAGAAAGAATATCAGTAAGTTCGTTAAATGTTGATTATTGTTAATCGAGTACTCAAATCAAAGGAGACAGCAGCTTTCAAGTAAGTAAATCATTTCTGAGAGAGTTATGAATACTGATAGATATCACAACGAAAAAACCTTCACTCCTTGTGTTAATGAAAATATCTGTTGTATTTTCAGATAGCCAATGATCTTTTAGATGATTAATAATTTACTACATCGAGAAAACTAACATGTGAGTACAATTTCTAATAGTTGAATCCATGAGTTGATTAAAGTTAAATAATCATGGAAAACCTGGAAGCACTGAACAGCCAATTCGTCCTATTGACTGTCTCCAAGATGTATTTTCATAGATTTCTAGTGAGAAGCCGTGAACAGTGAAAATCAACCGGGTTTGTTATGAGATAGTAACTCACCGAAGACAATGGTGGACGGTGGTGCAATTTCGTGGATTGGTTGAATTTAGGCATTAACACCGTTGGATGCAGGCTCAGTGGTTTATAGGTTAAGTGTTCGCTTACGAGACCGATAGGTTCTGAGTTAAAATCTTGTGGGACGGGATTGCGAATGCGCATTGCTGAGAAGTCCCATAATAGGACAAAACAACAGTCCAGTGATTCTTGGTTTTTTATGGTGGTGTAGCTTTAACTGACTTATGAATTCAACTATCAAATTACTATAATATCCACATCACCTCTCTCTGGTTATAATATGTATATTTGGTGAAATAAATTGATTGAAGTTGTAAATGGAAACCATCGTATTTTAAGTCAGTTTTCTAATGGTAAAAGGAAATTGGTAGTTTACTTAGTCAATATTTATCAACCCAGATTGTTGGGATTTATATTACGTATTCCCGACAAATGCTTTTATATATGTGTGTTACATGTTTGCGTAAAAGTAAGAAAACTAGAAGTAGCCACATCAAAACATATCATCATTTCATAACGTCTCGAATAACCGAAATAAGCTATATAATTAAGTACAGACTACCTGATGGCGGTCTTTGAGATTATTATAATCAATGGTTGGTGACATTAGACATCATATCTCAGATTAAATCAAAATCTTTCTGATCCTTTCACGTTTTATCTTCGCTGTTATGTTTATTCTACTATCGCTGATACTATTACTATTTCTACTACGTTTATATTTACCTTCATAAATTCATTTCATTATACTTACATATGTTAACACAAATCGATCCACAAATATGTCACATTCTATGTTGGTCATGACTAACTGACAATTACTCCTGGAGTTCTAGTGAGAAGCC